CAACAGCGGCGCGGCCCGTCCGGCGCTGCTGCGGTGCAGGTGGCCGGGGACGGGGAGAGGAGGGAAACCGCGGCGAGACGAGTCACGCCTGCGACCTGCGGGCCGCCCCCAACCCAGCAGTGGCTGCGCAAAAGCTTCTCGGGACAGCGGGAGCACTGCTTCGGAGATGGTTGGTCATATTGAAGCCTTGGACAGTTGCAAATTATGTAAATGATGTAATACAGTTGTAAGCTTAACGATTAATTGTCATTCTCTTATCAAGGATATAGCTCTTCTGTTCCTCCCAAACCTTCCTGGAATACATCATCCTTAGTCCCTGAGATAAGCAGTGTCAAGATGACCCGCACATATAGAAAAGGCTGTATTTCAAAGACTGTTTTAATAAGACTTGAGTGGTTGCCAGGGTTGTCCCTGATAAAGCAGCAAACCTGTGCCCTAAAACTGAACTTTGCTTCAAAATGAGGAGAGGGCACTCACACAGTTTGTGGCAGTGTGCTTGATTTGTGGAAAATACCCACCCTGCACCCTGCGCAGAATAAAGCAATGTCTCCTTTCTAAACACGCTTGCTTAGAGCTTGTTTAGATGACAATATCTTAAAATCCACAACAATGGCCACAGCGGATCCAGGCGCTTCTCACCTGCATGTTTGCTAATGAAAAATCTTTGTACGAGGGAAGCTATACAAACTAAACACCTTCTTGAACATTTCCTATGATGTACGTAAAGCAGTTGCATTGTTATTGCATGACTGACCAGCAGAGAAGTGGCTGCGATAAAAAAAGCAAGCAGCTGAAAGCAAGCTGAGTCTGCAGCACTGCTTTCTCCAAGTCTGCTGTATTAGCCAGCAGACAAGGGCATGCGGATAATGTCTTTTCACTTGAAGTGAAGAGGGACTGTAAGCAGGACTTCGAATGAGAATCTGGGGGCATTGACACTGTTTTGTACTTGTTCAGGTGTAGACTAAAGCTGGAGCTCTGCTCGGTCACTGACACATAACATTCACACCAGCGCAGCACATCTCCCCGATGGCTACTTTCCACTCCAGCCTCCCTTACTTCATCTCCTCTAAGCCCTCCACAGCCACCTGTCTGATCAGGCAGAAACACATGGCACAGGGAGCACACAAGGACCACCTAGGCTTCTCAGGCCTGTGCTCTGTCCCTGGGCTTTACTCCAAAACAATGACAAAAGCATCGAGCATGTCTGGATTTATTTATTTTGTTAAAAGGCTTGGCTGTTCAACTGCAGGGAGAACGGCCCAGTACCAATTTCTCCAGTAATACATTGGGCAGACCAGAGACAGAACACAACACCCACCAAAGGCTTCTCTGTCAGCACAAATGGTTTCAGCATCCCCCTAGAGAGAATGAAGGAAAGGTAGACACAAAGGCCAGCCCATGCCAGGATTTGGAGAGAAGTCTAAAACAAGCAAACGCACTGGTGTCCTTTCTTCATCATTATGGAAGGAGTCGCTGCACCTTCAGCTGGAACGAGAGTATTCCCTCATGCTCCTTTCTGTGTCCAGCTGACCGTGTGCATGCGCCACACAGGTCTGCTTTTGTTGGAGGAAGACAAAGCTACCGTAGGGTTAAATCCAGTGACACTTCCTCTGTTATCAGACGTTCTGTCTCTCCCCTCTCCTATTGCAAGTCTTGGTCATTGATTTGGTAACCCAAAAAAGCAATCTGTTAAAACTTAATTTTAAAAAAAAAAAAAAAGGTGCAAACATGCCTATTTTCCCCCTGCAGATAGCCTATAACATTTCCGTGCATCAGAGGTCAACCTGGTCACAGAAAAAGAATCTGAAGTTGGCAGGACTAGCCAACCTGTGAGACAGGCAACTGCTCCCCTGGTTTTCTGAATGTCGAGTCAATGAAAAGCAAGGGGGCACCTACTGCAGGCTGCCAAGGCTCAGTTTCTCCACTGTGGGCTGGCAGGGTGTATATAAACCACAGTGTTGAAACAAGTTGTACAATGGGCCAGTGCTGAAAGATAAATACCTGCCTCTGTCCTCTACCTTATTGTTTGAGCTGCAGCCTAGACTCATCAGTCCTCATCTGAGCTATCCTCTGATTTTTCATCAGCGGCCACTTTCCAGTTCTTCCTCTTGCTCCTCTTCTCTGGTACTTCACTGTGCCTCTCTGACACAGAATTGTGACATTTCTTTCTCTTTTTTGGGAGCCGTTTCTCTTTTTTCTCCTCAGATTCACTGTCCTCAGAGCTGCTGGTGGTTGAGCTGCTTGCATGAGAAAAGTCACTTTCCTGCCCAGAAGAAGAGGTAGGTTCCCTGGCAGGCACTTTCCTGGTCTTTTTCTTGCGCTTGTGTTTCCCTTTCCTGGTGCTTGAAGTCTCCTCTTCTGAGCACTCGGTCTCCCGGGAGGAATCTGATGATGTTCTTCCCTGCTCCTTTTTCTTTTTCTTTCGCTTTTTGTGTGATCGCTTTTTTTGCTTCTTCTTGTGTGATTTCTTTGGTTTTTTCCGTTTGTGCGACTCACGGGCAGTTTGCTTTCCCAGATGAGATTTCTTCTTCCCATTGAAAGCATTTTGTTCATTTCCTTGTTGCTGGTCACTGTAAAAAGAACAAAGGATGACCAAAAGGAAGCAGACAGGCAGGCACATAGCAGTTGAGCCTTTTCTGTCTCAAAAGTTTTAAGCAAGCCCATCAATTCATTTGGCTAGAGCAGGGAAGCAGATGCTTTGACAGATGTGGTAGCTGCATTTTTGTTTCAAGTGCTTATTAACAGCTTGGGTCCACATCTTACTAATACCCCTGTTTAAGATATTTAAGCCAGAACCAAGGAGAATGCGTACTGAAAGCCACTGAGTGATGAAAACTCATTTACAGCAGATTACTTCAAATCTGTAAGCCTGACAAATACTGTACTCAATGATTCCGTTAGGTGTAGTTTAAAAATAATTAATTCTGTCTAAGGTCGTGTTTTACAGTTAAGTCTCCACTCTCCAGGACACTGCAAGAATTTATATTCTCCAAATAAAGAGAGACACAGAAATTCAGGTACACTATAATGGAAAGGAGAACCTGGAGCTGATATTTGAGAGGGTATATGAGCTGACTTGGATTCAGCCTACTACTCTGGCTCTCTGTTGGCCCAGACAGACCTTCTAGATTCATAGTATTTTAGTAACTCAGGCTAAAGTTGAATGTCTAATTACTATAAAAGATGCAATGCCCTCCTAAGACTCAGACAAGGGGGAAGCACATTAATGGGCTAGATTTTTTTCAGTGGGTGTCTGTAACTAAACAGTGCTGCTTTACATTCAAGGCTGATCTATATTCAAAACTTAAAACTCAGTTTGTAAAATTCCCTGCATAATCTGACAGAAGTAAGGCCTGCTTGCCTTACCTATCTGTATCAAATTCTTCAGGGTACAACTCTTTATAGCCACTGTGACCCCATCTGTAAGAAAGCAGAACCATCTATTAGAAACAGACAAGGTGATTAAGGAAGAAATACAATTCTGAAGAGACAGAGCCACAGAATAAACATGAGTTTAGATAGCAAAGAAGAAGGGCTATCAGAACCTTCCCAACAAAGAAGGAAGGAAATAAGACTGATTGGTTGGTACTATTTAAATACACTTTATGTTCTCGTCTCTTTTCCATTTCTAATTAGGGAAAACTACAACTCAAATTTCTTTAAAATAACTCTGGAGAGCACTAACTTGCATTTCTCGAAATTTTTTAAGTTCCTTGGGCAAAGTAATAAATACTAATCTCAGTTGCTAAGCTTAGGACTGAGCTTTTGCTGCTTACTGTGACATAGGAACTCTATAGATGAACTCAAATTAGGTATTCTGTGACACTGCAAAAGTTCGTGCATGTTACTTATTCATTCTCAAAATGAGATCAAGCATTATTTTATAGAGGTACGTACTGAAAAGAGAAATATACTAACTTTTTGGCACAGGACTCCAGAAAGATGTTTTAATTACAGTTATAATCACAGAACATTAATTCCCCCACAGACCTGTCTGGCATGTTGGCTTCACATTCATAGATCTTTTTATTCCAGGATCGGGCCCTAAGGAGATCATCTTCGACTGGGTCAAGAAATTGTGAGTTCTTTGTTTTCCAGTCAGCCCTGTGGCCCTCTTCATCAAAGCCGTCACTGCGCATCCGACTGCTGCAGAAAGAGAACAGTTGTCCTTCAGCTGTCAGCTCTGATGGAGCAACTTTCTGAGCAAGGGGTTAGTCCAGTGAGAGGAGCAAAAATCCAGCAAGTCTTGGATGTCCATCTATGCAAGAAGACCAGCTATCATTTTAACAGTCACCATTAACAGCTCTCACAAAACCAGTTCAGTAGCTAACACTGGTTTTCAAAACTTACCACGGCACTCTGTGCACAGCAAAATTCTTGACAGAGATGCTCACAATATAAAATTAGAAGAAGGGGTTACCTTGCCTATCACAACAAATGCAGTTCTCTTCCTCTAGAATATGCTGCAGGAGCAGACTAACAATATGTAGTGAGACATACGCTAGTAAAAGCAGCAAAGGGAAAACTGAAGAAGTAGGACTAACTTACTAGAATTGCAATTTGATCAGGTACCAGGACTAAGACCCCAAATTCACAGAAAGCGCCACAGTTTTGAGTGACCTCACATGCCCGTGAGTTTTGTTTCTCACTTGAAATGCCGCACTTCCTGAGCCAAGCAGCAGCCGTGGACTTAGCATAAGTCTGAAAGGTGTTCTCCCCTGAGACTAAAACCACTTCCTGCAACATTCACACTTCTGAAAAATCTTCACGTTAGTAAGCCCCGTCCTCCCTCCCCCCACAAAACCCAGCCCTCCCCCCAAACCCAGCTTGTTTTTATGTAGCTTGTGAGATCCTCAGGTATCTGAGAATGATTTAACGGATACCACACAAGTAGCGGTCAATATTGGTGTGTTATAACAGGACTCCACACCACAACAGTTTTGTTTACTGCTAACCTAAATGGCAATACATTAGACATATTACTTAAGCACTTCCTAGCCCCACTGCTTCAGAGAGCCCGGCCTACTTAATGTTGTATTTTGAAGACTATACATCTAGACAAAGAGATAAAAGGTCAGACTTAAGCACAGGTCTGACCTCTTTCCAGGGACTCATTAAGGAGAAAATAAATATATCTGTAGTCTATGTAGTCTTCATATATTGTAAACACATAGTCATCACAGAATGCTCTTGAAGTGTTATAACACAAAAGGGTTCAGCAACTAAGACAATTATCTCCTTCACACAACTAAAACCCACCTGGAGGTATCTGACAGCATTCTGCTTTGCCTTTTCCAGTAAGCCTCTTCTGTCTGCTTCTCCCACTCCCTTATTTTCCACATTTCTGTCTCTTCCTGAATCTGAAAGTCACAGAAAGGAAACAAGTGTAGCATTAGGCAAACTTTACAGACATGTAGCAGGTAACATCAGCTCCTACCTCAACACTCCTGCTAACAAAATTCACAGCAAGCTTTTCTACCATACTGAAACAGATTATTATTTCTAGCTATAACCAAGGTAACCAAAAGGAGAATCTCTTAATGGTAATACTCTAACAAAGCACATACGGATAACACCATCAGAAATGGTGGGTTTGCCTGATTTTGCTATCTCAGCTGTTCTGGCTACCCTGCCTTGTCATTCATTACCATCCCAAACATACATACTGCTAGAGAATTCTGTATATAAATATCATCTGCAAGGACCAAGCCAAAATGAGAAGGTACACTACAGGCTGAAAAAACACAGCGTGCAAATACTGAGTGGTTTGGCACAGATTTATGTTTATGGACACTGACTGTAAATGAGTGATTTTATAAACATGAGAAATAAATGAGTTGGACCTGCTGAATTATATCAGGAATTAATTAAATAGTTTGCTAAAGTTAACGGAGTTTCTTAATCTTGCACTAAAGTATTGCCTGTGCACATTAACACAAAGTTCAAATTCTTTGATGCAATTAAAAGTACATACACAGTACGGCAAGGAAAAAAAAAATTAAAGGTTTGCTACTTTTAGGAAGGCAAACCTTAACTTTCATGAAAGTCCAGAGAGAATAGGTTTTTCATAGGGCAAGTTTTATAGGTAAATACATATACACATTCCCTCAGCAGGATGAGAACTCAAGAAAAAGAGGATTAAACTGAAAGTGAGACTAACGATGTTTACATAGATGATCTCAACAAGCGCCCTTCCTCCCCGAAAAACGCACCTGCTCTCCCCACAGATCACAATTCGGGCATTCCGCCCGCCCCACTCCCCACTCCGGCGGCGGCTCCGCACCACCGGGGAGGTACCAGCAGTCCCGGGCCTCGCACACGCCACACGGCAACACCCAGGTGATGCCCAGGGCGTCTCCACTCGGACCCGCGGCCAAAAGCCGCCTGCAGAAGCGGG